CAGTCATTTAGGAAATGGAAATTAATGCCTCAGGGACATCAAGCACAGTGGAATATGCCTATGATTCCAGGACTTAGGGGCTGAGGCATGAAGATTACAAGTTTATGGCCAGCTTCAGCTGCACAACCAAACTTTGTCTCCAAGAGAAAAATCAGTTCTGGTTGCTCTCCGATGTCTGACTATGTAGAATGTGGTCAGGATGTAGGCAGACTTTCGTCGCGTCATAGTCTGGCACATACTAGTATGGTATGACATGCTAGCTGCTTCAGAGAAAAAGGAATCATGTTTGCAATTTTAAAACACTTTTACATTTCTTGGCTCACATGATCACCAAATTCTTATTGTTGGGTCAGGGCTGTGAGAAGAGAATAATAAATAAATTACTAAGGCAGTAATGCCAATTTATATCTATCCCCACCCCCGCCATTTTTATTTGTAAGGTGCATAAAGCTAAAGTAAGTTTGGCATCTTCTGGGAATAAAAGTACACATTATTTATTACTCTTTCCTGTAGTAATAGCATCTATTCTTCTTTCAACTACTAGGCAATATATGTTTTCGCTAAAATAACAAGTTTTCAAAATCCAGGTCTTCTACTGAGCTAAAATAGGTAACTGTTCAAAACAGTGTATATTGCCAAGGAAATTGTTTTGAACTGTTGTGTTAAGACAGAACTCTTTTGTCTTCACTAGATTTATTTTTGCCCACTAGTCTTTGGGGCAATGCTACAGACTCTAGCTTGTGTCTGTCTTGTTTCAAATGATGCTTTTAAACCTGTTGGAGGTGATACATTGAGGCAGGTCACATACCCAGAGAAGCTATAATTCTGTTGAAATCTGAAGGGATAAATTTCAAGTGATAAGATTCCAGTATCACTGGCCCAGCAGCAATATTCTAGAGGAAAATGGTGTGTGTAGGTAAAGTCAGCATGTTGGTGAGTTCCCAAGATATTTTCCAAGGAATTCTTTACTCCTTCACCCAGTTGCTTTGATTAACCAACTGCATCATAAATAATCTTGCATTTTATTTAGCTTCATAGGTGCAACATTGCCCTCTCATTACGTAGAAAAGGTGTGCTCATAATTGTAGCCAGAAGGGTTCCAGATACAAATTGATTAGTTGATCCTCCCCTTCTCTCTCTTCCTTCATTTCTCTCCTTTCTCAGCAAGATGTCACATATCCCAGGCTGGTCGAGAACTTACTATGTAGCCAAGGATCAGCCTGAAATCCGGATCCTCCAGCATCTTCCTGCTGAATGCAAACAGGCATATGTGGGCAGCAGGCACTTTACCAATTGAGCTACATCTCCATCCCCAATGATCACCTTATTTTTTAAAGACTGTGGCACATAATTTTCTATGTGTCACAAAGGGGCTTATTTGAGATTGGTACTAGAAGATGGCCCAAGTGATTTCTTACAATTGCCAATGACAGTCATTAAGATGATAAATGGTAGTTAAGCTATAAGTATTTATATATTATTTTCCCTTAAATGAGAAATATACTCAAGCCAGGAGTGGTGGCACATGGCTTTAATCCTAGCACTCAGGCTACAAAGACAGGAGGACCCCTGCGTTCATGGCTAGCCTGGTCTATAAAGTAATTTCCAGGATAGCTAGGATTATATAGAGAAACCTTATCTCAAAAAACCAGAGAGAGAAAAAGAGAAAGAAATACTCATTTAAAAAAATCAAACTATTCCTTCCATCATTAATATACTTAGATTCTAATAGAGTAGGAAAAAAAAAGCAAAATCATAGTACAGGATGAGTCATGAGATTATATAAAAGTGTATTTTTAAAATGTGAGATTATGTGGCTAGAAAAAATAAGAAACTTTTTCTAAAAGTCAAAGAGATATTAATACCAAAGCATAAACACAAAAAGAGTGTGCTAGCCCGTTTGCCGTTTAACTCCTGCAGCAGTCAGCAACTAGGAATGGGCAAGAGAGGCTTCACCAAATTTATCAATTCTTGGCATCTATCCACAGAAACATCTTAAGATGTCATGGTAGCAGTCCTCAATTAAGAGTTACATGAAAGTAGGAAAGGCTGGCCATAGGACTTCTGAGTACTTGTTTTTCTTCCTGTTGATTCTTACCTAAAGAGAATACTCTCTCATATTGGAGTAGGAATACAGAACAAGGAGGTTATTTTATTCTACTATGATTGCCTGGTGAAGCAATGATCAATCTCCCTACCACCACTCTGCTTCATTATTATCTGCAATCTACAAGGCCATTGCCTTCAAGAGTACATGCTTGTTTTTTAAAAGTGGAAAGATGTAGGCCCAGATAATGAACACATGGCAGTGTAGGTTAAGTGTTATGAGAGAAGCCCAAAGTACTGTGGATGCAGACAGAGAAGGGATCGTGGTGAAAGTGGGAGCAGGGAACCAGCTGTGCCTTTGTGAAGAAAAAGCTTTATGTTGCATTAGAAACCATTCCCAAGAGAAGTGTGTGATACCAGGGCTGAAGCATAGACGAGAAGGCAGTGTTTGGGAATGAGTAAGTAATTCTGTTGTCTACAGTGGACGATTCTGGGGCAAAGGAAACCTAGGATAGAACTTAATGGATTCTAAAGAGAAAGGTTTTGCCCAGGGATATGGCTCTGGGTATAACATTTGCTTATCATGTACAAGGTCCTGAACACTACAAAATAAAAATTAAAAATAAAAGCTAAGGAGCAAAGGTTTCAGTATATTAAACCAAAATGTTTAGACCAAGTTCAAGGAAAAGCACAGCAGCACCACAGTTTCTTTATTCACAGATTTATGTAATTGTGTGCCTGCTTTTCATCCCATCTACATTTATTAGTTCCTTTGTGACAAATACTAATCTGGATGCAGAGGAGAGTAATTATGACACGGTTTCTTTTCTGAATGAAGTCACAGTCTGATAGAAGAGACGAGTAACAATAGTCAGAGTACCAATAACAATTGATATCTGCTCTGAGAACAGAATTAAGCAAGTAACAGTTATGCTCAGAGGTAAGAGTAAACCATTTGTGCCACTGTTGAGGAATCTTCACTTGCCAGGTTGAAGTTAGAAACTTTCTAGTCTGGTGTGGCAAGATGTATGTAATCACATATTCAATCACAACACCCAGAAGGCTTGGGCAGGATCAGGAATTAGAGGTTAGCGCAGGATACACAGTAAGACCTTGTCTCCTAAGCAGAAAGGGTCAGCTGGGCATGGTGGCACACCACACCTTAAACTTACCAAGTTGTGTTAGATATCTTTGGCCCCAAATTGGAATGCCTCTATTTTGTCTTGCCACTGCTCTTTCCAGACTCACTCAGATGTGATGTCTGTGAAAAAGCCTTCCTGACACTCCACCCCCCCACCCCCCCAGGCAGGGCTAATATGCAGCCACTGACAGACTTATACTTGACTGTAGTGACTTGCAGGGATGGCACCTCCTGTGATTTCCAAGCACACAGCAGGCAGCACCTCTGTGTCTGCTGTGTCTGGCCTAGATGGAAAGGAGGGCATCAGCAAGTGTTTACCAAATGAACAAAGCAGAGGAGGGCATCCGGCAGGGGGTTGGGAATCCAAAAGCAATAATAAAATAAAAAGCACCAAAGACAAATACGAACACTATACCTGCCATTGATTCTCCTGCCCCAGCTCTGTTGTTCATCTATCCTGGGCCATAGCTGTTGGCCTGGTTATGTGTATGGAATTGACTGGAAAGGGAGAGAGAACACAAAACCTAGGGAGACGGGCTGAAAAATATGTGGGGGACTGAAACAGTACCTTTAGACACCAATGGCGCAAGTTACCGGAAACCTGGCCAGCATACCTGGTTCCCTTCAGCTGTCTAAGTTCTGGGTGCTGTTTTCTACCACCACCTGGTGGCCATATCTATAAATAGCAAGTTGTCAGTGAGGGAGCCAAGGGAAGGCAGTTGGTCCACAAGTGACCCTCAGTTCAAGCACCACCCAGGAAAATGCACAGGTCTGAGTGTGAGCCTGCACCTCATTCCGCTAAGAGCTCCAGGAGCTTGTTACTAGGTTTTAAAAGATACCTCTGATCTACAGAAGACAGAATTACTGCTGAAGGGGTGGTTCCTTGTCCTGCCCCCACAGATGAAATCCTCTAAGGGATCATCATAGAGGTAGGAGAGCAGACCTGGCTCCTCGCTACTCAAACCTCACTCTCCAGTTTACCAAAGTACTTACTCAGAACCCAGTTTTACAGAGCCTCTGGTCCCAGGTGGACCCGTAGGTATCATTGAGACTTACTTGGTTACATCAGGTAGAGCGGCGTGCTGATGTTCAGGAGAGTGTCAGCAGCAAGGCTAAGAACAACATAGACTGCCCTCTTTAATGCCTCCCTCACTTCCCACAGCCATCATTTAAAACAAGAAAGACAATACCATTTTCTGTCCTGAATATAGTTCCCAAATGGAAGTCATTTTACCTACATACTTTTAGATTTCTGGAGAACCAGATTCTCTCAAGCCATGATTCCTGGTAGAAGATAAGCCTATAGCTTCAGTTTAAACTGGTTATCTAAAATGCAAGCATTGATGCCCATGAGCTGACTTTAAAGTGAAAAAACTAAAACTCGGAGAGAAAATGACTTACTGTTTTCTCCCACAACTTGCCACTGTCTCATTGCACAGGTATGTATCCTGTTGTAGTTCAAACAGTGAGCAGACCTTCAGGGTGACTGGTTTATTTGTGTCTCTGGGGCCCAGGAAGGACCCTTGTTCCCTGCTAAGGACGGCCACAGTAGTCAGAGTTCACAAAGGTTAACGTTGCTGGAGCATATTCAGACTAGCTACACTAGAGCGGACTTTGTAAAGAGTCTTCAGAGCGTGCTTTTAATCAATGTTTTGGAGATGCCCAAAGTAGAAGTGCAGAGATCACACAGTTACTATGTGGCAGGACCTAGGTAAACCCGGGTCTGCCTGACACCGGGTTCCCACAGCAGCTAGCCGCATGATGCTCTGAGCCCCCTCTGTCCTCTTCTCATTGTCCCTCTCTTCTCTTCCAGGAGTGCCAGCTTCTCTCAGGGCACCCGGCAGAAGAGCGACACAGCCGTGCAAAAGCTTGCCCAGGGCAATGGACACTGTATCAATGGAGTCAGCGGCCAGGTCCATGGCTTCTATAGCCTTCCCAAGCCAAGCCGACACAATACAGAATTCAAGGACAGTACTTACGACCTCCCCCGGAGCCTGGCTTCCCACGGCCACACCAAGGGCAGCCTCACAGGGTCTGAGACCGATACCGAGGATGTGTACACCTTCAAGACACCCAGCAACACCCTGTGTCGGGAGTTTGGAGACCTTCTAGTGGACAATATGGATGTTCCAACCACCCCTCTCTCGGCCTACCAGATCCCTAGAACATTCACACTGGACAAGAACCACAATGCCATGACAATGGCCACTCCTGGAGACTCAGCCATAGCTCCCCCACCCCGACCCCCCAAGCCAAGTCAGGCAGAAACACCTCGATGGGGCAGCCCTCAGCAAAGACCTCCAATCAGTGAAAATAGCAGATCTGTAGCTGCCACTATCCCCAGGCGCAATACCCTCCCTGCAATGGACAATAGCCGACTCCACCGAGGTCAGTAATCTCTGAGACCAGGGGCCAGGGAGGTGACCCTGGCGTTCTCAGTGTGTGGCTAGCCCTTGGCCACCCCTAAGCCAAGGTAAATGTAAGAATTATTCAGTTCAGTGATACAAGTTGAGGCATTTTATGTGCAGTTTCCTTAGTAGTTCATCCCCGCCCAGCTGCCAGTACACACTCCAAGTAGACTCTGCCTTGGAGATGTTGGTATTTGGGGTTTGGAGGTTTAAATCATGCTGTTTATTTATTTAAAACTAAAACCAAAGGCATAAAAACAAACTTAGAAGATCAGCAAACTTCAAGAAAATAAAACAAAATGGGATCTTTGGGATATTTTTATATCAGCAAAAGCTCTGATTGGAGTCTGAACTTGCACTTGAACCCCTAAGTTCTATCCTCACTTATGACAGGCAAATTCCAACTCTGCAAATACCCTCTGTTCAATGAGCTCTCTTTAGATCTTTCAAAGCCTTCTCATCCCCCTGCTGTGACAGCAGCAAAGATGCGTCTCAGGCGCCCAGTTTCTATGAGGCCAGGCGCCCAGTTTAGAACTCTCCTATCAGTCAGGCTGTCTGAGCAGTCAGTCACCCTGAGCTGTGGAACTGAATAGCGCATGCACAACACGTCCCTGCTCTTCAAAGCTCACCTCCTGCTGGAGAGAAAAGCCAACATATATAATTAGTATAAGTGCCATTTCCAAAGTATTCCCAGAGCTGAAAGTGAGCCAAGTGGGAGGTATTAGAACTCAGGGCTGAAGTCAGGAGGTCCTCTGCAGATACGTGCATAGAAGACATGAGACTTGAGCAGAGCTTGTGAGCAAGAGGGGTGAATGCCCTGTCCTGTCAACATGGGGCGATCTCGTGTTGAATATAACCCATCTTCCTTCCTTCATCTCAGCTTCTTCCTGTGAGACCTATGAGTACCCAACACGAGGAGGTGGAGAGAGCGCCAGCTGGTGTGCCGAGTCTGTGAGTGAGAATGTTAATCTTTTCCTGGGCCCCTTGGGTCAGTCAGGGTAGGGAAGAAGCCACACATGTAACTAAAAGCACATCAGCCAAAGAATGATAGGATCTCCCTCAGGACCTGCCGCCTACTTGTCCCAGTCCAAAGTCTTAGGGAGACGTTTTTGGCAAGTAAAAATGATACCCTCCTCTGTGACAGATGTGCCCTGTGACAGACTGGAATACAATTCAGCAGACACACTCCAAAGGGAAGGTTCCTCTAAGGCAACAACCCTGGAGTAGGAACGCGGAGTAGGAACATAGCAGAAGTGGTGACAGATGACAGCTTACATGAGGATGTCAGGCTACCTCTGGAGGGGGTTGTCCAAGTTCAAAGCAAGCTGAGCAGGGCTCAGCCCACTGGAAAGACAGTGCAGAAGCAGTGCAGGGAGACGTGCTGTGCTGTGCTGAGAGTTGGTGGGTGGCTGTAGTATGGGCTGCTCTGCTACTGTGCAGGTCTGTGACCTCGGAGCCTGGGGTGAGCCCAGGGCCAGTGACTGCTGCACAGGGAAGTGTAGCTGACTTCATCCTTCACAGCCCTGGGCAGTGTCTAGATTGACTTACCATTGGTGAATCCTGAGCTGTTCCTGCTTTCTGTCTTAGCCAGGCATCCGGAACCTGAATCCCCCTAGCCACATGCCATGCTTGAGTATCCACAGAGTTTTGTACTTGAGTCTTATCACAAATTATAGGTGGCTCCCGGGAGATGCTGTAAACAAGAAGTAACTAACAGAGCATTCGCCTACTTCACTTCCGTATTCCCACATGCTTCCTTATTTGGTCTCAAGGTTTCCCTTGTAGCTTCAAAGTATAGCTAACCAACTGGAACGGCTTGGACAGTCTCACCTTATTTTTTACTGGGTACAGGTTTTTTACTCTTTTTTTTTCTTTTTTTTTAGCCAGGAAAGTCTGTTGTGGGTCGATCAGACAGTGCCAGCTCTGATGACAACTATGTGCCCATGAACCCAGGTTCTTCTACCCTGCTGGCCATGGAACGAGCAGGGGACAGTTCCCAGAGTGTCTACATTCCCATGAGCCCAGGGCCCCATCACTTTGACCCACTTGGCTACCCAACCACATCCCTTCCTCTTCATAGAGGCCCCAGCCGAGGAAGTGAGATCCAGCCACCCCCAGTCAACCGCAACCTCAAGCCTGACCGAAAAGGTAAGTCCAGTCTTTCCCCCATCTCACCTCTGGAAAGCATTACTTAGAGATGAGGTGGCTATTGGACTCAGGGGTGTGTGCCTGTGTGCAGGTAATGTAAACTCAGACCTGAGGTTTGTCTATAAGGACAGGTGCGGGATGCGTCACGTGGTCCACCGCAGGTGCACATGGTGAGCAGGGAAAGTGCTAGAGTCCAAACTGGATTTCTGCTGGCCGTGGCTGAGCAGCAGGGGTCCAAAGGGAAGAGCAGGCAAGCTGGACAGAGATGGAGCCCATGGATCTGGCCGACAGGGACTCTGAACACAGGAAGTTAAGACAAGGTCCTGTGCCATTTACGTTCCTTTATTTGATTTGCATAACACTGTCCAAAAGCAACAGCAGTAATCACAATGGCCATCTATATTCTGAATACAACTCTTGTTTTTATTAGAAGTCACAGACCTGAGGAGAATCTGTTGTCAGACCCACGAGTCCCATTTTGGATTCTGGAAGTCTTGGTTGCTATAGATACAGTGGCAAGGACGCATGCTTTCGAGTGTGAAGACACTTGCGTAGCTGGAGTTTGGTGTCTGTGAGAGTCCTGACTGAGCCTCTGACCAAAACAAAAGCGATGCCTTTGTAAATGGGCTTGGGTGCTACACAGAGTATGTGTCTATGTGGGGTAGTGACTGATTCCTGAACTCTTTTCACTGTAGCAAAGCCAACACCCCTTGACCTGAGAAACAATGCTGTCATCGATGAGCTCCCCTTCAAGTCACCTGTCACCAAATCGTGGTCCAGGGTCAAGTGAGTGTTTATAGAGCAGGAACCTGGTGTCAGAATTGATTAATAGCTGGCCTGGGGTTGAGGATGCCAGGATTTTGATGCTAATGCTATCAGGCACTTTGTTCGGTTTCTGGTCTTTATTACAAAACATATGGGATAATCACTTGGAGAGGGGGACAGATGTGTTTTGGTTCATGGTTTTAGTCTGTGGTCACTTGAGGCTTGTGGCTGGGTGGGGAAAGCATGAGAACCAGAAAGCAAAGAGCGTACCTGTCCCGGCTGCTACTATACACATTTAAGGTGGGTTTTCCCACACCTGTTCTAGACCACATGCCAGTCATCATCCATGTTTTCTTTCTCTGTCTCTTACTCGTAGGAATTGTTTTCCTCATCTGTGAAAGGGAAATGATTAAAATGTCCCTGTATTCGATCTTAGTCTAAGAATGGAAGTGTGACGCTCTGTGGGTCAGGTCTGGGGAGTAAGAACCGTAGCTCCTCGGGGTTCACTGTCTTTTTCTGTCCACCAGCCACACCTTTAACTGCAGCTCCTCCCCGTACTGCCGTCCCATCTCCACACAGAGCATCACCAGCACAGACTCAGGAGACAGCGAGGAGAACTACGTCCCTATGGTGGGTCCTCAAGCCTTCACTCCCATCTTTCCTTCCCAGCTCAGGCCACAGTCACCTTGTACTGAATGGAAGTTGGCCTGCTGCTGCAGGCCCCTCCTGCACGCACGAATGTCCAACAGCAGGGGCTGTCAGCCCTTAGAGAGGTAGCTGTGCCCAAGAGGCCTGTGTCTTACAGACCCACCTGGGCTGTCGCTCTCACTGCTGTAATTCAGGCGACACCATGGTGCGCCTGGAGAGACGGGTATTTAACTCCCTCCAGTGGTGAGAGCAGGGGTAGAAATACACACAGAGCACGAGACGGCTCCTCTATGAGGTCACCGAAAAGGGCACAGCTGCCAAGGCTGCCAAGATTCACAGAACAGATCAAACATTAAAATGGTATCGACTCTTACTACACTCTGACCTTGGACATATTTAGACATAAGCTGCTGTCGTAAGCTGAAGAAGGGGCCAGGTGTGGTGGCACATGCCTTTAACTTAGGGAGGCAGAAGTAGGTGGATCACTGTGAATTCGAGGCCAGCCTGGTCAACAAAGTGAGTCCAGGATAGCCAAGGCTACACAGAGAAACTGTCTCAAAAAAACCGAAAAAAAGAAAAAGAAAAAAAAAGCTGAAGACAGGACCTTAGAACCTCTCACATGGAAAATGGCTGAAGAAATGAAGTCCTGTCACCCAGAAACAAGGTGACTGACTGTTCAGGTTGTCATGGAGAAGGCCACCAGCTGCTTGTGACCAGGTGTGATAGGAAGCTCCAAATCACCAAGTATGGGAGAATGTTGTTTATCAGGGACCTGCGAACCAAGGCTGGGTCTTCAGGAGAGATAGTACCTAAGACGTGCCCTGAGCCAGTCTAAAGCAGGCGGGTATAGGGAATTAGCACAGGTTTGGTGGTCCGAAAACACGCCTGGCTCTTCACACTCCAGCTGTGCGAGTGCAGGTGATCTCTGTACTTCCCGAACCTAGGTTTTAGCCTTTAGTGATTTGAACAGTAGTGAGACCCACTCTCAGGACTGCTATGAAGACTTAGATGAGAATATGAGAAGTCACAGTGCACTGGCTCAGGGCAGGACACTGTACGGGGGCTCTTGCTCCCAGAGGAGGTTTTCCAAGTGATGGTTTGGGCTGTTAAACTTACCAGTTTTACTCTTTGTCACAGCAAAACCCAGTATCTGCATCACCTGTTCCCAGTGGCACTAACAGCCCAGCTCCAAAGAAGAGTACCGGCAGTGTGGATTACCTAGCCCTGGACTTCCAGCCGGGCTCCCCAAGTCCTCACCGCAAGGTACCTGGAAGCTGGGGATTAGGGAACCCATCCCATCAATCCCTTTCCAGAGACATTTTACATCCAGTTTAACTGGGGTCAGTACCCACCTCCTTGCCAGGAGATAACGCCCACAGGGATTACCCACAATTACAAAGGGATTCAGTGTTCAGTGACCAGGCTAAGACAGGGACATCCTATCTCCCTACCCTTTTTATGAGAGAGAGAGAGAGAAGTCTAGATAAGGCCCAGAACCCCAATGGAGACACAGTATCCCTTGGAAGAGACGTAGGGGTCTGGGAAAGCCTCACCAAGAACCACTCTCAGCCCAGGTAGCAAGGAGGAATCCCACCTCAACATCCCCTCAGCTTGTTGTCCACGTTTCCCTGGAAGTGTGGCCAAAGGAAGATGAGGTGGAGGGATTAGTGAAGGCCTGAACCAGTAGCAGGGCCCACAAGTGGCAGGTTATCTGGACAGCTGGGAAGCAGGTGTCAGCAGGCTTGGTGCCGCCAGCACATGACAACTTCACTTTGAAGTCCACCCTCAACACAGATAAGACCTTGAGGCCATTCAAATTGATAGCCTTATAGGTAACTCATAGGCATTCCTTTTTGTCCCCTCAGCCATCCACGTCATCTGTCACATCGGACGAGAAGGTAGACTATGTCCAAGTGGATAAAGAGAAGACCCAGGCCCTGCAGAACACCATGCAGGAGTGGACAGATGTGCGGCAGTCCTCAGAACCTTCCAAGGGTGCCAAGCTGTGATAAAGGGGGCCACCGAGCTCAAGGGCCACAAGGCAGCTGCTCAGAGCTGGCTCTTCTTTGTCACCTCCTTCTCCATCCCTTTTCACACCTCCTCTCTTCTGTACCACTTTCAGCCTTTAAAGCACTCAACATCAGGGACCCTGGCCCTTCCCCCTCAGAGGCAAGGGCCTGATGGAGACACTTCCTCTACCACTTAGGGTCCACCTATGACTTCTGTCAATACTAGCTGTGCCTCCACCACCTTAGTTAGGGGCTGTTGCCACAAAAGCCTCCTGCTTTGGACCTATTTGTCTGCTGCTTGGACTCTTGGAGGGAGGGCTGAGGCTCTGAGCTAGGCTCATGCCTCATGTCTGCTCACCGCTCTCTACCCTCTACCTCAGGGCTGCTTCTCCATCCCCAGAGGAGGATGATATCCCAGGGAGCCAAGGGCCAGCAGACCAAAAGTACACATGGGCTTTCATATCCCTGCTAGTTTTGGCAAGGGAAAGGCAAGGTGCCACAGGAAGAGATGGGTGATGGTGGAAGTCAGAAGTTGCCTGAGTGAAGAAGAAATTAGATCCCCAGGCCCAGGAGGTTAGCTGGTAACCTGCAGGCGGACCCAATATTAGGCCATGGTGCAGGACGGCTATAGACTGGGAAAGGCAAAGAATGAAGGACAGCCGAAAGGAAAACTAATAATGACAAGCAACAAAGAACAGGGCTTGGGGTGACAAGGCCTGGATCTAGAGGACTCTGCCACTCTGTGACAGGCAGTCCTCTTTGCTGGCAGTGATGGAGCGATGAGGCAGAGTGGGGAAGACAGTAGGGGTGATTTGGGGTATGGGAGGCAAGGGGACCCTGGGACAGGAGTGTGCTAGGCACAGAGCAGTGCAGGGACACTGCGGCAGGGATGGCACAGAAAGTTTCTAGTAGGTAGGAGGGTGCAGAGAAACTTAGGACTTGGGAGCCACGCAGGACATGTAGCAAGGGGGGGATGTGTGTCCAAAGGGCCTGATGGAGAGCCCAAGGTCACATGCAGGAGTGCAGCAGGGGCCAGAACACAAAGGAGCCATACTTTGACCAAGGAAATCTAGGGCCCACATGAGGGGCCAGAGAGAAGCACCTCTGACCTCATGCCAGGCCAAGTCTTTTTCTCAGCGTTTCTCTGTTGTCCTCAGCTGCAAGGCATGGTAGAAATTAACCCTCTCCTCCCATGGCTTCAGAGGTCACCAGAGCAGAAGGGATGGGAATCAGAGATCACCTAAGGCTCCTAAGATAGGGCAGGGAGATCTGAATGTGTCTGTGTTGAAAGTTGAACAAATTTTCAAGCATTTCAGAAAGAAAAAACAAAACAGGGCAAACCAGCATTTCATTTTGTTCTACATGAACAAGCTGTTTCCAAAACCTAGGACCTTTCTGCAATTAGGGGTACACCTCACGTCTCTCCTCTAGAGAGCCCTATCTAGAGTTCTTCATGGTAGGCCCTCTTCTCACATTAGGATGGATCATTTAGTAATGTTTGCCAATCCCTGTGCTACAGATGATTCCTACCTTGTCCCTAACAGGAGGTCACAGACGGTGAGAAAAGCAAAAAATAAAGACATAGAAAGGGAAGGCACTAAGGGAGACTGAGCCACGGGGAAGGCAGGCAGCAAGGAGAGAGCAACAGGAGTTTTATGCAGAAAAGGTAGGCAGGGCTGGTCCATGGAGGAGACAGAGATGAGGGAGGCCTCAGCTCTGGGAACAGAAGATCTTTAAAGATATGAAGTCAGCCTTCATACTGTCAAAAAAATAAATAAATAAATAAATGGGGCTGTGGTCAGTTGCATTGAGCAGGATTATAGGGCTCTACCCTATAATGGCTCTACCCATCCTTACAGTGCCCTTTGAGGCCCTTCAGCAGGGTTCCTATCTGGCTTTGGACCGGTACTTCTGGAGCTCATAGCAGGTCCAGGTAACACTGGCCTCAGCAGTCACCCACAGACCCCAGCACATGTGGGTCCACCATGTTCTAGTGGACCATGTGAGTACAACTGGCTGCCATTTACCAAGTCTAGTCTCAAGGCCTCTGTCTTGCACTGGATCCAACCTTGGAAAGCTGAGCTCTGGCTCACAATTCCCAAACTGCTAGCCATGTCTAATATACCCACCCTCCAATCCCCAAATAGGAAAAGCCAATTCCATTTAAAAAAAAAAAAAAAAAAAAAAAAAAACTTTTGGCCTACCCATAGGTCAAAATTCATTCCCCTGGTGGCTGTCAAGGTCTGAGACCCAAGAACACTCACCATCAGCTAGCATAGCTCCCACAAGTACCTGTCTTGCAGGGACTCTATCAGCTCCACTCTGCAAGGCTAAAGTTTAGTAGGAACAGTGAAGAAAGGAGAAGGCATCTCCTCGAGACTTGCCGGGCTGCGGCATGGGATGGCTACAGCTGACACTCTGCAGTGGCCTGGGTGATCCTTTGAAGGTCTGGGTCACTGGAGGGAGCGGGGGAAGCACACAGAACATTAGCTGTTAACTGTCTCCCTCTCTATCTGGATTTTGCTGATAGCTACATTTGACTCCATGAAAAAAGTCAGTCACATTCCCAGAACAGAAGCACAACCGTTCTGAAGTTACTGGAACATGGGCTCAGGTCCACCCTGTCTTTGGGTCCTTTTTCTGCCAGTGGCTATAATCCCAGCCATGGCTCCCTCTCCTCCTTCAACAGAGCTTTGCAAGCTATGAGGGAAGTAGCTTTCTTTTCACTTGGGCCTTTGGCTGGAAAGTGTGGGGAAGCAGGCTGCCCTTAGAGGGGCCATCCTTCTGGGACTTGCCATATTTGGGGCCTGGGACCAGTAGGAACAGCCAGACTGCCAAGGGCGCCAGTGGTGATTTGTGCCGTTCTGGTATCTGCTGGTGTGTGTTATGTAATCTGTTGACTACTTGTGTCTTGAAACTTAGAATCATTTCACACAGGATTGTCGCTACTTGTTGGGAAGAGAACATGAAGTAGAAGCAGCCTAGTCTTATATCATGTCTTGTTACCATTTAAGATTGACATTTAATTTTTCAAGTCATTGTTGGTGCCTAATCACTTAAATTATTAATTTATTCTGTTTTCAAAAAAAAATTTGTAACATGTATTTATCGTGTGAGGTCTGGGGGTGGGGCGGGAAATGTGTTCAAAAGACTCCTGTTTTCCCAGTGGTGACAAATGGTACAGGCCTGGAGCTTGCAGGTCCCTTTTTATTATGTAGAAGCAGGACAATAAAGTCCTTTAGAAATGCAACCCAGAGTGGGCTGCTGGAGACTGTCTTTAGGGATGTAGAAACTTACTTTCCACAAGGCTGGGTAGCCTTGGGACTGATGCTGTCCTACACCTTCTCTGGCAAACTCATTTCAGGATCATTTCATGACTAAGCCCAAGAGCTGTGTGCCTGGTTCTCATGCTGGGCTGGAACTGGCTGTAACTGGACACGTGTCCAGGCCAGGAGCAGGAATGGACCCTCTTTACTCGGACCAGCCTCCAGCGTGTGCGGTGGTGCACACCTGTAATCCCAGCACTCTAGAAGCTGAAGTAGTGGCAAGACAGCTTCCCTGCCTGTCAGGGACTGGGCCCCCAACACCTCTTCCCCTGTCACAGCACCGCTCTGACCTTCCAGCCGCCTTGTTCTGAAGATGACCTTGGGTACAGGCCAGTCCCAGACCCTCGCTCATACGCAGCCGCCCACGTCCCCCTTCAGCTTCAGGACTGGGACCTAAGGAGAGGGCTCAATGTCGGAGCTGAAGAGATGGCTCAGCTGTTTGGGCCCCAGCACCCACATTAGGTGGCTCACAACAGCCTGTAACTCCAGTTCCAGGGAATACGATGCCCTCCGCCGGCCTCCACACGTACGTGGTACACACTCACAGAGACACGTTCACACAATACAAACAAATAAGTGTTTTCTAAGAGCTTGATGTTGACTCCGGAGTGCTGGAGAAGTGGCTCCCAGCCTGCCCCAGCCCACACCTTGTCTAGCCAAGGAACAGGCTAGGGCCCCCTTCTCAAGAGGAGGGGAAGAGGAAAGAAACAATGGCAGAGATTTCAAGGCGGCTCAGAATCCTTGGAATCTGAAAAATCATTGTTGGGTTTCTACATTTATGTGGCAAACCAGTCTGCTCCAAAGTATCCATGAAGTGTTCCCAGCCACACCCCTTTCGTTCTCTCTCCCTCTCCTCTTCCTCTCTTCCTTCCTCCCCCTCTCCTTCCCTCCCTCAGGGCCCTCAAGGCCTAGCAAGTACCTCCTTGCTACATCTAAGGACCCCAGGACAAGGGCATACCCTCACCTTACCCACCAGGAGCCTAAGTTACTGTCAAGACTGCTTAGACACAAGCGAGCGTCCCAGAGAGCAGCAGACACCACAGCGCAAGCTGGAAGAACAGCATCCTGCATGGGGTTCAGAGAAGCCAGTTTTATTCCTATTTAAGAACATGATTTCTTCTCTCCACTGAGAAGAAAGGGGCTACAGTAGTCTCGGGGCACAATGAGGTCAGGTTTGTCACACAGGTCATACCTACGGCACCCTCGCGTTCCATCCGAGGAGCCAAGCCAGCTAGCTCCCTCACGTGACAATGGCTTTCTGACAGACTACCGTCTTCAGTAAAATACGGACTCTGGCCCTTCACCAAACAGGGTGCAATGGCAGCATCTCAGGCACTGAGGCAGGCTAGGGAGGGCAGGGGCTCTCCCACAGTGTGGCTTGCTTCGGCCAGGGGAGGGGCGGGAGGCAAGAGTCTCCTCTCTAGCTCTGTGCTGTTCTGTCTTCCACTCATCTGCCTCCAAAACACAGCAGGTGCAGGCACCCACATACCTTGTTTTAGGAGCCCCCTTGAAGAAACAAGAGGGCAGGCAAAGGAGACACAGCCCCCTTCTTGGTGCAAGGGCTTGACTTCAGCTGTGCTTTCTCTCCTCCGAGGAAGAGCTGGGTGAAGGAACTAGAAGGAAGTGCTACTGGACGCAGGACACCAAGCTGACACCACCCTGGCTCCTGAGCCATCTGCCCCTTCCAGGATTGGGCCTGTAGGGAGGCAAGGCCCAGAGTGGACTCATCCATGAGGCTCCCAGTTAGTCAGGGCCCTCAACCGTAACATCTCAATTGGACGAATGCCTAAGGCGCTTTGGGTTTCCGCTTCCCTGTGCCTTTCAAGCTACAGACTGACGTCCCAGATGGTCCCTCTCCATCCTCGTTGCCCTCGGAAAGGCCTGCTTCACCTTGGGCTTGCCTCCACAGCTCCCCGTTGGCAGAATGCTCTGCCTGGGCCCTGAGCCCCAGCCGGCCCACTCTGAGGTTGGCTGTGACCCCCCACAAGTGGGAGTTCCCACTAGAACACCAGTCTGTGGAAGTCGCCATTGCCGCCTGCAGGGTTGCAGCCCCCTGGAGAGCCTTCGTCCTCATCTTTGTCTTCATCGAAGCCCCTGCCCCAGTGTGGAGGGGCAGGGAGGGTGGAGATGTAGGCTGCCCTGCTCCGGGCCTCCTTCTCCTGCTCCTGGAACAGAAGCAGGCAGGAGGTAAGCTTAGCATTCAGCTCTCTACTCAGCCAGCACAGCACCGCCAAGAGCTCTGGATCCCCCACGGCCCTGGCTCCACTGAAGAACAGGCTGGGGGACTTCAGGTCTAAGAGTCAAAGTCTACCCGTTCCTCTCCACCATAACTCAAGTCCCTTGGAGGGCTTGATCATACTAGACAGTGACTAGCTGACGAGTGCCTGGGACCCGGGTCTCCACCGTCCGGGCCACTCACTGATTCTCAAAGCCTGCAGTCCACTTCTGCCCATGAGGAAGTTCTTCCCCAATTGGCCTCTCTCAGACTTCACCAAGCCATCTCGGCTGGATGGCCTGAGAAATGTATAAATAGGCCTGGTGTCCCATGCCCTCAGTTCCTCACATGAAACGCCAACTCTAAAACCCACAAGGCCCTGGTGCAGCCACCTCATGGCTGAATATTTTACTACTCTCGATTCTAATAAGGGAGTATGAGGCAGCGACAAAGGAAGGGACCCCCCTCTAGAAGCCCCATGGGGCAGTCCCTGCCCTCAAGCTCTACCACAGTGTCCCTTCCTCTGAGGTTAAGGGGTGTGCCTTTCTAGCCATCAATCTCCCCTCTAAGTGATGAGTGAATGGATGGATTTAAAGCTAAGGCAGACTCAAAATGACAACAGATAACTGTCCTACAGAGGTGGCTGTGCTGGGCCAGCTCCTTGCCCAGGAGTGACCAGTACCAGAGGGTGACCCTCAGCAGAGGACTCACCTGCAGGTAGAGGACATTGTCTTTGGAAATGGCCTCCATCAGGTCCTTGTGGAGGGTAGGCTCTGCCCGGACTCTGGGAGAGCCAGGCTCAGCCTCAGGCCCCTCCCTGGGCCGCTGGCGGTAGAAGAGCACGTAGGCAGTGTCCTTAGGGAAAAAGGAGGTAACGTTGCTCACAGACTCGAAGGATGAGAAGGACACACGGGTGTCGTTGAACAGGTACCACTGGTTCTCGGGCTCAGGCCTGTCTGTGGATCCCAGGGCAGGGGCCGGCCGGGCAGCACCCTCACGGGCATAGCAGTAATAGTGGCCACTCTCTGAGGACACGCCAGAGTGCACCACCACACTACAGAGGTCATAGGCCTGGCCCTGACCCCCGGCCAGCGGCAGGCGCAGCAAGAGGGGGATGCTGACATCGTCCAGGATCTTGCGGCGCCGCATGGTCCGCAGGTCAAAGGAGAAACGCAGCAGCGTGAGGATGAGGTAGCGTGGACCCTGGCTCAGCTCCACCACCTTCTCCGCGTCCTGCAGGGAGGAGCAGGACTCGCAGTAGTAGCGGTTCTCAGCGGTCAGCCTCTCGGGGGACAGGAAGTAGTTGACCAAGTCCAGGACAGAGCGGGAGCCCTCAGGGCCACATGCCTGCTCCCGGGGTGGGGTGGCAGCCTCCCTGTGGGTCCCTGGTGCCAGGATGTCCCCTTCCTTCTCCTTGCCATCCTCAGCTTCCTTTTCCTTTTCATCTTCCTTCTTCTCTTTCTCTTCCCCCTCTTCCTTCTCCTCTTCCCCTGCTCCTTCCTTCTCCTCCTCTGACACCTCCTTCTCCTTCCCGGCCTGCTCCCTCTCCACCTTCTCTTCCTGCCCACTCTGTTGGCCAGTGCCCACAGGGCCCACACCTATGTCCAGCCCAGTTCGGGGAGCGTCCCCTGTGATGCACTGCTTCCTCTGCCGCTGCGCGCCTGGGGCCGTGGGCGCCAGGGCCAGCTCCTGGGCCCGCACATCCTCCGTGGGGAGCGCCACCGAACCCACGCGGCGCTGGCGGCTTCGCTCGGGAGGAGGGAAGGCCAGTGAGAGGTCTGTGAAGGCCTCCTCCCTTGAGGAAACGTTGAGGCACTGGAGGCAGCATATCCGAGTCACAATCTTGCCTCCGAACATCTTCTCCACAGCTGTGGCACTGGAGCTTGGGAGTTCGGACGGTGGGGACGGTGGAGACGGCAGGCTGGACTGCTTGAGCTTCTGGCAGATCCTGGTCCCGGTTTTCTCCTCTTCGTGAAGCCTAGAACAAGCAGGGGACCGCACACCTACCAGCAGGCCCACCGTACTCCCAACAAGAGGCTGGCGAGACAGTCCCCACCCCTGTGCAAAGCGGCGTGCTGACACTTCTGTCCTCACCCTCACCTAGCACACCCTCATAAAGACGCACCTTCGGCTCAGGATTAGCATGCTCGGCCAACATGGTGGATACATGTGCACGCCTCCACAGCCCCCTCCCCGGCTTCACATGGGACACACACCTTCCCCTGCCTTTCAGAAAGAGCCAACCCAGCTCAGAGGGGCACGCTCTCACCCCAGAATGTTGTCAGGACCCACACACCTCCCTAACCCAGCAGCCTCTTACCGATCCAGCAGGTACTTCAGATACTCTGAACAGTCCTGCTGGGTGCCGGGGCTGAACCAGGGCGTCCAGGATGCAGACAGGAAGTTCTCAGGAGAGATGGCAGGCCTCTAGGGCAAGGCAGGTGAAGGGTGGGGTCAGGGCATCGAGCCCCACGCATGTCCAGCAGCAGGCAGCATGCCTGGCGTCTAGCTAAGACCATGTTCCAAACATGGCAGCCTAACTTTCCCCTTCTACACTAGCCCTGCCCCACACCCAAGTCCATGAGAGCCATGAGCTGGGCTTGTCTTGGTGAGAACTCCCTAGAAACCTGTTCTGGCCTCACAGACCACAGTGTCTCCAGACCTTTGTTCATTATTCTCTCTCTGCTTAAGACACCCCTCCTTGCCAAAATGAGCCCCCAGGGTACAGAGGCCTCTTCCACGACTCCTTCCCAAAGCCTTGCCTCCACTTCCACCAACTGTCCCTTCCCATGTGTGATCTCTAACCCCAGCCTGCTCTATTCCCCCTTCCCAGCACCAGATGGGAGCCTTGCCATCTCGGGCTGCACACAGGACCTCCCCCGCCCCTGACCACGGGCTGTAGTTCTGGAAGGACAGAGGCAATGCTCGTTTTGTTCACTCAGGTGAGAGGCCTGGGTAACCGAGCTGTTCACAGCCAGCAGATGACAGTGCATTAGCGCACGGGACCAAACTCTGAAGGGAGGCCAGGGCAGCACCGCCCAGGAAGAGGCTCGGGGAGCACCTCTGCAAGGACACCCAACAGGCCGGAGGCTTTGGCTGTCAACTGGTGCCAGCAGGAGCTGAAGCTCGGCAGCTCATGCCACAGCATGGGAGCTTTGAGCCTGGTGCAGGCAGGTCCTGGAGACGTGAAGGCGTAAGAGCAGGGCCCGGCATGACCTGCTCTCCCCGTCCCAATGTGCCCAGCACGCACCTGACTGTGCTCCAGGAAGGCAAAGAGCCACTGCAGCTTTGTCATCACGGGCTGGGAGTTGTTCTCAGTCAGGCGGAGAACACAGTGCCGGAAGCTTCAAATGAAACGGGAGCCCAGGGTAAGCTGAGGCCCCAGGGAGCCGCCTTTCCCCTATACCAGGCCAGTCAGAGCCTCTGGCATTTCTCCAGATGAGGCCAGAGACTGGGGAGGAGATGGAGCACAACTTGGCCTGGTACGGCTGGGGCAGGAGTTCTGTAATGGCCTTGGCATGACAACAAATGGAACAACAAGGTGACCCTGGCTGTCTCTGCCAGCTCTGACACCCCATGAGTCCAGGACTCAAACATGTCACTCATCTCAGGGGGGTATCCTGGTGTGCCAGTCTCTGCTGTCACCACCAGAGGCACTGAGGCGCGCTTGGTGATAACAACCAAGGATTAGTATTGGCCCCACCCCGCCTCAGCCCTCCACCCCCTCCTGCGACCTCTGCTCTCCCGGAGCTGCCCTGACCTAAGCCCCTATCTCAAAGCAGGCAGCTTGCATGAGTTCTTCCCTGGCACAAGACGACGCTGTAGGGAGACTGGCCCTCAGGCTAAGCGTGACCCTGTGGGGTCAGGGCCCGAGGCCCACTGTCCCTGAAGCACACTGCCTGCTCTGCAGAGGGCGGCACTCGGCCCCGACGGCGGGTCCCACACGGAGGACCCAGAGCATCTCAACATCACATGACCACACGAGCACAAACGACTTTCCTGGCAGACCCTTTTGTTGTGTTGTACAGAAGTTACGGTCTGCCCACCAGGAGTCAGAGCACAGCGTTCGCCCTCAGCAGGCAGGGAGGACTGCGGCAGCTCAGCAGCCTCAAGCACCAACGCACACTTCCGCCGCAGAGCAAACCGACTGAAGCCAGAGGCTTCCTTACAGAGCCAACGACGGAGCCTTGAGGGGTCTTCAAACGCGCCACGGGGCATACCAAGACCACAGGTGACACGGCGCTTGCCTTGCTGAAGAAAAGGAGGCACCTGTACCTCAACAGCAGCCTGGGGTTCAAAGCCCACCTAGGCTGTGGGGCAAGAGCCTGACGCCAAAGCTAAGGCAGGCAAAAGGGTGAGACAAGGGTGAGACACAGGAGGCGAGGTAGAGCAGCACCTACTCAGAAGCCATGAATAAGGCCTGGAGGACACTGTTCACGAAGCACGTGTTGCCCAAGTTGATTAAGCCAATCTTGCCGGTGTCTGACTTGGCCATGAGCCGGGGATAGAAGCCAGCCAGTTCACTCTTCTGTGAGGTCCAGGCATCCTGCCCCAGCAGCTGCTTGATTCGGTCCTCATTGGGAATATGGAGGTCCTAAGGAAACAGCAGACATCAGTGTCAACTCTAAAGCCACCACCTCCTCCAGGAAGCCCTCCTGGACTAGAACCCACTCCTCCACTCCCTCTCATGTACACACTCAGAAGGTGTCTGCACAGCCACCGCTTACAACTCACTCCAGGGTCTCATTCTCACATGTGGGCCTTCTATGTGATCTCTCGGGTGCCATGTCTGAAGTAGCACAATCCCCATCTCGGAGATGGGAGAACTAGGCTTCAGACAGAGCAAACAACTGTGTAGCCACGTAAACAGTGACGAACGTGTCTGCCCTGGGCAGAGCCCAGGGGTGACTCCTGGCCACCAGCCAGATCTGGTGATGTCTAGACCAGTTCCAGCCCTACGTCCTGCCTCACCATGTGTGGGTGCTCGGTCAGCCTGTCTGTCTCAGTCCGGCGATTTCCCTGAGCCTCGGGTTCTTCAGCTGCCAAGGACACCCTTCCTCCCACTGGCCTGGCACTCTGTGCTGTCAGGCCTCCCAGTCTGAGACCACAGCGGAGCTTTCGGCTGGTCACCCCCTGGCACTGGTCCTCCGACGGTGGGGAGGGTCTGAGGCTCCGAGCTTAGGCCTCTGTCGCCGGCTCACGGCTCAGCGCGCCTTCTTCCCCCTGGCTACCCTTGGCCACACTGAATAGCTGCACCAAGAGACTGCCTGGCACCAGCGAATGACATCAGAGCAACACCTAAGCACAGCGCACCGCCGCAGAGCGAATGCCAGGGCACTCTCGACAGGTCCTCTAACTGCGGTCACCCGCCCCAGGGCCACCATGGCCAGGATGAAACGCCATGAGCAAAAGCAGCCTGGGGAGGAAAGGGTTTGCTTGGCTTCCACTCCCACACTTGAGTCCATCAGGAAGTCAGGGCAGGAACTCAAGCAGGGCAGGCTCCCGGAGGCAGGAGCTGGTGCAGAGGCCATGGAGGGGTGCTGCTTCCTGGCTGGCTCCTTACATGAGCTCTCTTACAGCACCCGGGACCACCAGCCCAAGCGTGGCCTCGCCTACAGTGGCTGGCCTCCTACCTTAATCACTCATTAAGAAAATGCCACCCAGGCTCGCCGTCAGCCAGATCTTCAGTCCAGGCTTCTTCTCCCCGATGACGCCAGCTTGTGTCAAGCTGACACGGAACCAGCCAGCACAACTGACTCCTTGTCAGCTTGCCACACAAACACATCACTGTTAAGCCACAACCTTTCCTTTCCTGTGCATCCCCGAGGTCACATGTTAATACTGACATCACAATATAAAATATTTTCAAACTTAAAAGGCCCACAGTCTTACACATCCAAACACTTTAAAGGTTCGGTTTCAGCCGAGCGTGGTGACTCCCCGCACTCAGAGGCGGAGGCAGGTGGATCACTGTGAGTTCAAGGCCAGCCTGGCCTACAAAGCCAAGACTACACAGACAAACCCTGTCTCCAAACACAAAAACAAAAATTCTGGGTTTCTATGAAACCAAAAGTAAGTTGAATACTTTTCTTATTTTAAGAGGGAAGAACCAGGGCACAGTCACAGTCAAATCAAATCAAAGCCAAACTCCAACCATGTGACTCGCTCAGCGTCCACCGTCTGGGCTCACTCCTGATCTTCAGGGCTCCTCTCTGAGGGGCGCCGCCCTGTGCAGCACACACAGCTCGTCTTCCGGGCCCTGGCTGGCTCCATTCCACCGCTGCAGCATCACCGCTGGTGACATCTCCAAATGCTGGGCTCTCTGGTCGCCTGAGCTGCACGGTCACCAATGTCTCCTGGGGCCAAGCCTCACCTTCTCTGTGTGACCCCTTCAATCCTGGGCTTTCAACTGCTCCCGAGGCTGTGCCTCCCCAAGGCCTCTCCTGGCCCACGGTGCCAACCCTCAGCTGCTCCCCACGGCTCCTTCACGCCTTCAGAACCAATACCACCTGCTTGACTCTAAGGCTCCAATTCAGCTGCCCGCACCAGGTACAACCGTGGAACACAGCTTCTGTGTGCTGACCCCGAGGAGACGCTTCCCAGGGGATTTCACCGCAACAATGCTGCTCTCTTCCTAACCAATGAGAATGTCACAGAATCTTAATTCAAAGCTATGACAGGTTTAAGGCCTACTAGTCCTTAAACTTTCCTCGGGAACCGCCTCTCGAAGCCAGGCCCTCTTGTCCACAGTGTTCTCAGTGCTCGTTCCTTCCACGTTCCCACAGATGAGCTCGCTGAGCCCTTGACAGTCAGTGGCTTTTCTTGCCCATCCCAAAAGTCCTCCCACATTCCTCTCCAAAACATGGGAAGGGCTGTCACAGCGATACCCCACAATCCTGGTACCCCTTTCTGTCTTAGGGTTACTATCGCTGTGGTGAAACAACCATGACCATAGCAAGCTGGGGAGGAAAAGGCATCTTTGGCTTACACTTCCACACATCATAGTCCATCATGGAAGGAAGCCAGGAACCTGGAGGCAGGAGCTGATGCAGAGGCCATGGAGGAGCGCTGCTTACTGGCTTGCTCCTCACGGCTTGCTCAGCCCGCTTTCTTGAAGAACTCAGGACCTCCAGCCCAGGGATGGCACCACCCACAGTGGGCTGGGCCCTCCCCCATTCAATCCCCAATCATTAAAAGATAATGCCCTACAGGTGTGCCCACAGCCCGATCTTCTGAAGACGTTTTCTCATTTGAGGCTCCCTCCTGTCTGATGACTATAGCTTGTGTCACGCTGGCGTGAAACTAGCCGGCACAGCATCCTTCCAGTTCCTGAGCACACCGTCCTGGATCAGCCAGAGGCGCTGGAGCGTCACATGGCTTAGTGCCTTGACACCCCCCCACCACACACACACACAGGCTCCCGCAGAAGTGCCTTGACACTCCTGCTGACGCCTGTCCCAGGATCGTTTATCAGATACGTCAGTTTCTCACAGATGAAGAAAAAAATCTGCCTGTCATCCCAGTCACTTAGGTAGTTGCCAAGTTCAAGGCCAGCCAGGGCAACTCAGATCTACTGGACAGAGCAAGGTGACTCTGCTTGGTTTCAAGGCCTTTCTGATGTGCCCTGCACACCATGACAAACTACGACCACTGGACTCACCTTCCCCACCCATGTGCCCCTCCTTGAAGTGTCCTCCTCCTGAGGCCCTAACGGTCAACGTCAGACTCCTTTCTGCACCCTACCAGTCTTTCCAGGAAGCCCCCCACGGCCGCCATCTGCTGTACACACCTCTGTCCTAATTGCACATGGCCTTAAGGAGGGGCTGGAGTACACAGGCCAGGAAGAGGCTCTACCTACGCGGCCTCACATAGCCCTCATCCCTGCAGGGTGAGGCCTTCCAGGTGAGGCCAAGTTGGGAAGGGAGTGCCCTATAAGCAGCCCCTCCTATGTCCCTGGAAATGCCCCTCACTCTCTCGCTAGATCAGCTCTGAACTTTAAAAGATGTCTGCTGTGGGGTTGGAGATGACTCACCAGTTAAGAGCACTAATACTCGTGCAAGGGCTGGATTCAGTTCCTGCACAGAGCAGGCAGCTCACAAGCCCCTGGCGCTCCAGCTCCAGGGATCTGACGCCTCTTCGTGTATGTATGCAGACACAGGCAGACACACACATGCGCGCGCACACACACACACTTAGAAAGTAAATCCTTCGAAAGACGTCTGTGATGTCTCAACACACATGCCCAGATGTTCTGTAGAGCCGTGTGGGGTCTGCTGTGCTGTGAGGCTCTGAAAGGGGCTGTCACCCCCCAGGGATCCCCTCGGCATCAGTGGTCCTAAGGTCAGCCTTCCTGTAGGCAGACCTGCCACCCTGGTGGGCTTCAAAAGCTCCTCCAGGACGGCAGCTTGGTTTGCTTTGAGCCTGGGTCCTCAGACCCCAACCTGGTGAGAACAGGACACCAGGCTAGCCCTGCGAGCCAGAAGTCACCCCTGTTCCGCACACACAGTGGCATGTGACAGAGAATGCTAATGCTGCAGGAGCCACCAAGAGGCCCTGCTGAAGCCTGGGGACAAGTGCAGAGGCACCGACACCAAAGGCTCGCTAACGGCAGTCCTCGAGACCCCAGGACCCCTACCCCAGATGCTAACTAAAAACCAGGAAGATTCAAATAAGACACAGCAGGAGCTGTGGGTCAGGTGGGGGAAGGGTGTTAAAGAGGGAGCAGCATACACACGGGCCCAGCGCACACAAGTGGGAGCAGCCAAGACCTCCACGTACTTGACACAAACGCCCCAGATTGGTGACAGAAAACAGCGCATGTCCAGATGATGGCGGCTGCTACCACGCCATGGATTAGCCTCAAAGAAGGTCCAAACTGGTACCTGTGCCAAACAGGCTGTCTACTCACCTTGATGGCTTCCATGACAGGCTCATACAGGTCTGGGAAGCCTGGGAACCGAAACACCATGCAATGCACCAGCTCTGCCAGCTGCTCCAGGCAGCTGGTCCCAGAGTTCGAGTCCTCCTTGACCAGAGAAGTCACCATGGGGGGAATGTGAGGGAGGAGCTGCAGGAGAAAAGGTAGGTTGTTCAAGCGCCAGGCTACGCATCTGCGGCTTGGGGGCCTCTGAGGACGAAGGTACACCCATGTGACCACTGTCCCCTTCACTGGGTGGAGCTGAGCTCCTCGACAAGCACAAGATAAAGAATTCCTTCCTCACAGCTATGGAGAGGCCAGCTGCCCAGCCTCACACACCTGCCTGAAGAGCAAAGGCCTGAGCAGCCACGGACTTCTCTACCGAGCAGCAGATGCTCCAGCCATACCAGCCATCTGGGCGAGCCCAGCAGCATGAGCACCTGCTCTGGGTTATATGGCTCAGGGGAGGGGCTGGTGGTGCTGGAGACAGAACCCAGGGCCTTGTACATGCCAGGCAGGTACGCTGCCACTGAGCTACCCCACCCCACCCCGGCCCAGTGAGGCTGTGTAACCTGTCAGGATCCTGGGATGGGGTACAGAAGATGGAGTCTAAGCCAGGTCCATCCGAGTCCAAAGCCCATTCAGCTCCCATGTTAGGGTGTTCGTTTTCAAACCCCTTAGATCAGCGGTTCTCAACCTTCCTATGACTGCGACCCTTTAACACAGTTCCTCGGGATGTGACGACCCAACCACAAAATTATTTTTGTAGCGATGCCACAACTTGAATTTTGTACTGTTATGAACCGTAAAGTAATGTTTCCCCAACAGTCTAGGTGACCCCTGTAAGCAGGGGTCGAGTCCCACAGGTTGAGACCACAGCTGCCTTAGGGTGCCGCAGCTCAGTGTGGCACAGACAGCTGGGCTACAGGGACAGGAGACAAGAGGGAAGCCAGCATCTCTACCCGGCAGGCTCCAGACAAGCCTCCTCCGTCCCTCTCCTACCATCCTCGGGGTCTACCCCATTCCAGACACTTGGTCCTCATCCCTGGTTCTGATCTCTACACAACACACTAGAAAGCACAACGTTACTACCCTGACCAGGGACCATTAAATTAAAGCTCCAACGTATGGGTTCAGCGTGGTGGAGGAGCCCCTTTCCGAAGAGAGTCTTGAGGACAAGTAGAGCAGGCGAGCTACAGGCCAGAGCAGTGTGTCCTGGTGGCAACAAAGTGAGGGGGGACAGCAGCTTGGGGCCCAGACCTGTTGTGGATATGAACATGTTTTTGTTTAATCCCAGGTGTGGGAGGTGGGACTGATTCTGATGGTCCACAGCAGCAGGCTATTTGCCTTGTGTGGGCTCTGAGAAGAGCTCTTTGCCAGCTGCAGATAGTCTAAGTCTGAGGACTCTGGAGAGAGAGTAAATGCCAGAGCCCAGAGTGTTGGGGAGCTCCGAGAAAGAACAAGGTCACTGCCGCTAACCCCCTTCAGCTCCTGCTGCTGTTGATGCAGAGACAAGAAGTTGGAGATCTCCTGAAATGAGGACTGGACTGGCTTCAAGGAACCTTACGACCCTAACCAGCAGGAAGCAGCTAAGAGAACTGCACCACCCTCCCACTAACCCTTTCTCCCTCCTTGCTGGTGTTCAGGTGTTGGAAGGAATTCGGGTGGAGTAGGGAGAAAGATATAAAAAATGTAAATAAAAGATTTTTTAAAAGTATGCCAGCACAGGCCAACTTGGCTGGAACCTTCCCTGTCCACCCAGTACCTGGGGGCAGTGACGTGCCTACCCTCTCCCCAGCGTATGTCCTTATCTGAAGGAGGCAAGCCTGGCTGGGAGCGGGGGTGGGGGGGGGTTTGCACTGCTCTTAGCACTCGTCACTTGTCCTGACACACACTGACCCCGAAGAATGCGGCTGTCACCAACACAGGCTCTATCGCCCTACAGTGTGCAGACGGGAATCCCATGTCCTCTGGCTTCTGTTTCCCATCTTGTACGACGGGCCTTGAGCCTCTAGTGCTTCAACAGTCCCAACTCCCCGACTCCCAGCAGAAAACTACATTCGGTCCCTTCACAGGCTAGAGTGAGCAAGCGGGGCCTTACCAGGTGGAAGGCCTCGTGGGAGTGCTGGAAAGTCAGGAGCATGTACTTGAGGACGGACAGGGCAGCTCCCCGCACAATGGGGTACAGCAGCTTAGAGAAGACCTGAAACAGAGTTCATGTCAGGGGCCCCAGACCTGAGCTACCCGAGGCCAAGCGTGACCACAGAGGCCCCTGAAAGGGAACCCGAGACACAGGAGAGTAGAAACAGCAGGCCAACAATGGGAGCAAGAACACAGAGGTGCCTTGAAGCTGGATGGCACAATAGGCGAGTGATGGAAGGCAGACGCACGCACTGGAATGGGTGGGCAGAGTGATGGAGCTGCAGGCTGAGGCCCAGAGAGGGGCACTGGGTTAGCCCTGCCACACGGGGAGCTTGACTGGACCCCAGTGCCTTGCACCCCACATTTGCACTGTTCCCAGGGCTGGGCTCACACAGGGGCCACCAACCTTCTCAATCTTGGCAAGCGAAACCTCAATCAGGATGCTGAACTTCTTAACAGCGGCCAGGCCCTTCAGCAGGGCAATGATCCACTTGTCAATGTTCTTCCCCAGGGGCCAGGATACCCAGTCGATCATCCTGGTGAGGGGAGCGACAGTGACTCAGGGACAAGGGAGGCCCAAAGCCAGAGTGCGGGCAGCCCAGGGACGGGCCATAAAGTCCTGGCTCACACCGGCACGGGGCACCTGGGTCTGTGGGACAAACAAAACACTCCTGGAAAATACAAAGGAGCCCAGCAGACGCCCAGCAGACACGGCTCCCAGTCCTCCGGACTCGTCTCCCGCTGTGCCTCATTACAGGGGTGAGGGGGACGTCCAGGCAAGGACCGCACCCTGGGGCTGAGAACCCTGGCTTCGTGAAGCCCCTGCTGGGGACTGGGGCAACCCACTTCTCCTCTCTGTGCCTGGACTTATCTGCAAATGGAGACAATGCCCAGCTCCTGAGAACTGTCATATGGAGAGGACGGCAGCCAGGCCCTGCAGCGTCCACCCACACCAGGCCTGTGTGCTGGGCTGAGCATGGGGCCGGGATGCAGAAAGTGCTCAGGGGAACAGCCCCGCTCATTGCCTAATGCTGCACCGACTGTGCCGTGATGACAAAGAACAAGGGTAGGAAAGTCCCCATGGTTCACTTTTTACCTAATCCTCAACACCTTTGAGGGGCCCAATGATGACCGCTTTGCAGCTGAGGAAATGGAGACAGTCACACAGGTGAGAGCATGGGGCCTGACTGGGTCTTGGGGGACACGCCCCTCCTGCCCACCCGCTCACCCACCAAAGACAGGGAATCCAGGAAGGCCCAATGTGCAGAAAGAACAGCAGGGGGCGGCATGCCAGGGAGATGGGTTCGCTCAGGCCTGTGGGGAAGAGTGCAGGCGGCATAGTCAGGGGTCACAGGCAGGCAGGTAAAGCTAGTCCACAGGGTGACAACATTCAGATGAGGGTGAATGTACACAGGTGCGGAGTCAAAGAACAACCAAACTCTGTTTATGACCTTTTCCAGACTCATAAATCACACCAAACGCTACTTTAACTGCGTGTGTGCACACGTGTGTGGAGCCCCTGGACAGGCAGCGTTCTACTCCATCACCACTCTGCATCTTGATTCCCTTTGCAAGCGTCTTTGCGCTGAGTGTGAAGCTGACAGGTCAGTGAGCTCCAAGGACGTTCCCATCTCTGCCTCCTAAACACTAAAGCCAGCTGTGTGCACGGCCATACCATGTGGTGGGGATCTGACCTCAGGTCCCCAGAAGCAAGCGCTCGTAGCCACCATCTCCTCAGCCCCTGGTTTTACTCTCTCACACTGCCATTCACTTCCACTTTTTATAGAGGGGGAAACCGAGGCTAAGAGTGTGCTAGCATTTCCAGGACCAACCAGCTAGTACCTAGTCTGACGGTATCCCTGGGACAGGATTTTGTGTTTCTTATATCCAACCCAAGGCCAAGCAGGGTGGGACCGTAGAACTCAGTGAACAGGTCTGACAGCCTCACTCTCACAGGGGTGACAGCCTGCATCCTCACCCAGAGACGAGAGCTTCAGAGAGAAGGGCGGAAGGAGCCCCACCTGCTGATGGCGGTCAGCATCTGGGAGTCTGTCACACTGTCGTCATTGCTGAGGTTCCGGACCACTCCATCCATGAGCTCCAATGGGAGGTGCTGGACCACACTAGCCAAGGCGCTGGACGGCGGCTCCTCCTCTGGAAAGGGGTTAGATTGAGCTCTCACGCTTCCTCTACTTAGGAGAGGCTTCTGCAGACAGCAAATGAGGCCACATCCTCCCAGCCCTCCACAGCATCCAAGCCCACTGGAACACATTCCTTCAACAACCCCTCCCTGGCCTACACTCTGACACCACGAGGAAGCTCTAAGACCCATGTGCATGTAAAGAGAAGCCCCTCAAAAGGGCTCAAGCTGGAGATAGCCTTGGAAGGAGGAGACATTCCGGGGTGAGACGGTGAGTCGGTGCACCTAACCCCAAACTCCTGTGCGGGCCCTGGCGCTCCCCTCCTCTGCACAGTCCCATGATCAGGGAAGGCCCAGACCTCAGCTCGCTCATCCATACTACTCTCCAAGCCACCGCTCTCCCAGACTGTCAGCGTCCTCCGCCCCACGTGACGTGCCCCCTGCTTTCCCAGCACATGGACGACTCCCTCAGTAAACGCCCAGGGTAGAGTTTCCTCACTTAAAATGAGCACCGCAGTCCGTTGCGTGTGCGACCCGCCCCGGCCCGGGCGGCACACGCACCTGTGCAGGAGATGACCGCGAACAGCTCCTTGAGGCAGGGCAGGATGGCGGCGGGCTGCGCGCGCCACAGCTGCGCCAGCAGCCCGCTCACCTGCTGGGCCTGCTCCAGGAACTCCACGGCGCCCTCCTCGCCCTCGGCCGGGCAGCGGAAGCGGCCGAGGCAGCGCACCAGCTGCTGGCAGAAGAGCAGGCGGTGCGCGCCGTCGGGCACGCAGCGCGGGTGGCGCGCCAGCAGCCGGGCGACCTGCGCGCAGGCGGCGGGGCCCGGGCGCTCGCACACGGTGCGCAGCACCTCGCGCCGCAGCAGCGCGAACACCTCGTCGGCCGCGGGCCCGTCGGGCAGCAGCTGCAGCCCCAGCTGCACGCAGGCCAGCGCGCGCGCCCCCGGCGGCCCCGCCCCGCCCTGCAGCAGGCGCAGCACGCGGCGCGCGCTGAAGAACTCGGCGAAGACGTCGGGGTGGTGGCGACCCGCCACGTGCAGCAGCTGGCAGCCCACGCGGCGCGGCAGCTCGTCCGAGCCCCCCACGTAGAGGCGCGCGCCCAGGGCCAGCAGCGCCAGGCACTGCTCCCGCTCCAGCGGCTGCCGTGCCGCCTCCAGCACGCGCCGCACCAGCCCTTGCTTCACACTCGCGGGGTACGACGAAGTCACCACGGCCTCCAGGATCTTGTCCATGATGGCCGCACGCTGCTGGGGACAGGGAGTAGGGCCACGCTCTAACCCGCGGCCAGGTCCAGATCCCTGCGTGCCGACACTGGAGAAGGGCCTCGGTTTTCTTGCCTGGAAAATGGAACACGAATAGCTTCATCACAAAGGAGTAGACCAGGGTGGCACCTGCCCAGCCCCTGGGAGGCCCAGCTTTGGCTGCTGGACGCCTTGTCCTCACCTCTCTGGTCACCATTGACACTTCTGAAATAGGAGCGTGTAGGCTCTCAGAGCCCTAGTAAGTAGTCTTGGGTTAAACCACACCCTAGGGGCGGGGAGGGCCCCACCCAAGACCCTTTTCTCAGATCACCAACACGTTTGCACACTTTCCTTGATGAGTGCTGAGCCATTTGCCTGATTCATACTTGCTCTAAGCCCCTGCCACTACCAGTCACCAGGAAATACCTGTCCTAGGCAAGCCCACTCCTAGCCCTGGAAACGCGTGCGTGCGTGCGTCCGTGCGTGCTTACGCACACTATTCTTGTGATGGATTATCAATTTGATAGGATCTACAATCACCTTCGAGACCCAGTTCTGGGCACACCAGTGAGGTGCTGCCTCCGGGCACCTGCGGGGGATTATCTTGATTGTTTGAGATGGGACGATCCACCCACCATTCTCCGGGTTGGGATCCTCAACCGTACAAGGAGAAAGTAACCCGAGCACGGGCATCCATCGCTCTCATCTTCCTGACTGTGCAGCAACGAGCTGCTTCCAGATTCTGCCGTCTTGACTGCTCCACCCCGATGGGCTGTACCTCAGACGGGAACCTTCCCGCCCCGCCTGACTCCACAGCCCTTCATCCCGGGGGACGGGCCTGCTTCTCCAGCCTCAGCCCTTGTTCTCTGTCCACCGGGTCCCCTCTGCCACACGAATGCTCCCCGCTCGTCTCCTTGCTTGCTGTGGTGGTGTGACTAAGAATGGCCCCAACAGACTCACGCTTGCCTCTGTCCCCATGGAAAGGAGGGCTTAGGAAGAAATAAGGGGGTGGTTTGTCAGTGGGGATGGGCTTCGAGGTTTCAAAAGTTACCTTTCTCTGCCTCCTGCTTGCTGAACAAGATGTGAGCTCTCAGCTCCTGCCAGCTTGCCTTTGCTCACCCACGTGGACTAGTACTCTGAAACCATAAGCCCAAATTAACTGCTTTCTTTTCCAAGTTGCCCTCATCATGGTGTTTCCTATGTCACAGCAACAGAAAAGTTAGTTACTTTTCTGTCTTAGTTAGACAGCTGGTTGACACTTCAAGAATACCTCACCTGCCCTTCTTCCTACCTGCTTCAGACCCAGCTGCACACTCAGAACATCCTGTCTGGCTCTTCTACCGCCCTTACAGCTACTTGGCTAGTGTCAGCCTCTCCACCACACTGGAGTATGGCTCCTGAAGTCGAGTTTTGTTCATTAGCCTCCCCATAGCCTAGCACGCAGCCCAGAGCACAGTAGGCATGTGTTGGGTGAGGGAGGTCCTTACTGCCCTGTGGCAATAAGCCCTCTCCCCCTAGGCTGGGTCTCTGGAAACCTCCACACCGACCCATTCTGTTCCCAGTCTGTCTTTTGAGTCTCGGGCTGATTCTCATAGGGACAGATGGCTCACCTTTTTTGTTCTTGTTTTTGTTTTTGTTTTTTTCAAGACAGGGTTCCTATGTGTAGCCTTAGCTGCCCTGGACTCTCTTTGTAGACTAGGCTGGCCTCGAACTCATAGAGATCCACCTGCCTCTGCCTCCCCAGTGCTGGGATTACAAGCGTGCGCCACCATGTGCCACCATGCCTGGCAGCTGACTGACTTCTTACCCAGCTCTCACCTAAGAGAACCAAGAGTCGTTTCTGGGCTTCTCTGCATCATCCCACTCTAGGCAAAACCCAACACACAGTAGATGCTTTGTTTACTGAGTCCACGTCAGCCCTTGCAGCTGGGTGAAGACGAGTGGACATTTCCCAGACAACAGGCCAGAAAACAATTCAGAACGTGAGCTGTTCTGGAACCCATACATGTCAGGCTCTGTGGAGACACACTCTCCCGTGTCCTACCTCTGAACTGTGTCCTGCCATTACTGCGGCTCCCTGCCAGGGGCCCCTTGGTTTAAAAGTCTATTTCAGGGTATGAGCTCCTTGGGACTGGGACCAAGCTTACTCCTCAGTGACGGGCATCTCCCATCACTAAATATCACTAAATATCTGTGGCTGGTCTTGAACCCCTGATCCTAATGCTTCCAACTCACAATTGCTCAAATTACAGGCGTGAATGACCATGCCTGGCTTCTTGAATTTTTCAGTTTTCAGATGGGCAACCCAGATGAACCTGTGTCTCCCTCAGCCTGCTTAGTGCTGTGATTACAGGTGTGAACCACCAGAGCAGGCTTTCATTATTTTCTTTAATGACTTCATCTTCGGGGAAAAAAAAAGTCAAATGCCCAGGTCCCCTCAATTAGACGGTAGGTGAGACTCCATTTTTACTTGAGAAAGGCTTTATCTGGAGTGCATTCTGGTTACCAAGATCACTCGGCTCCTTGGACCTCCCCCTGGTTATGGGAAGTTATGGTAATGGTTAAGGGCTATGAACGGAACAAGGTTCTAGACGTGAGGAACAAGAAGGAACCCCTCAGCAAACATCAGTTCCCCGCTGCCTTAGAAGAGAAGTCTTGGGTCCTCAAGGAGGTGCTAGACTGGTGGAGACAGAGGTGCGTGTAGGCAGCACCAGGCAGTGCAAACCACGATCCCCGTAGACCTCAAGGCTACTCTCCAGGTTGGGGTGTGGCTCGGTAACAGAACCCAGCCTGTAGAACGCCATGGGTGGGACCCCAGCACCACAAAAAGAATTGACAAGAAATAAGCTAGCAACAGCTCCCCCGTGTCAGCCTTGGCCCTCTTTCTTAGGCAGGTCCTAGAACGAGGCAGTTGCCGTCATCAGCTCCTACTGGGTGGGTCACGGTGTTCAACCCAGGCTGCCAAAAGCCCGGCAGGCACGCCACTACGGAGAAACCTTAATCAATGAGATATTGGCACCACGTGTAGAGGGCCAGCCCATAGGGCAGGCGCAAATGGAATTCTGGAGCCAGGGAAGGTTCTAGAAGACTGCTTAAGAAATCAGAGTAGAAATGGAGCCCTGACTGCGACCTTGAGGAGGCAGATGCACAAGCTGCTTTTCTCCTTTTAAAAATGGGGATAAATGGCATCAGATTAAACCACAGAAACCAAATGATCAAACACCTGCAAATCCCTGCCATTTGCCTGATACCACCTCAGGTGGGCTGCACCTGGCAGCTGGAAACCCGGTCCATCAGTACCAGCTGACGTTCCAATCGCCAAAACCAGTCTTCCTCAGTCTGTGACTTCTCCACAAAGCACAAGCCCTGCTACCTGCCCCAACGCCTACGCAAGCAGGCAGGTCAGCTGTAGCTATGGTTACCAGTAAACCCACTCTGCAGTATCCTGGATGCATTCATGCAAAAAAAGCTTCAGAGGTTTCTACTCCACCTGACTCTAATGGCAGGCCAGAGAAAGAGGGCAGAGTAGGGAGCAGGGGGAGGTTCATTTCCAGGGCACAGCAGGCTCAGCTGGCATCCTTCCCCTCCCAAAAAGAAGCTGTAGGCTACCTGCCCTCCTCTGGAAATCGGGGTTACCCAGCAGGCCCGGCTCTGAGTCCAGCCAGCTGCTCCATTCAGTGCAGCAGCTCCCCTCCCTTCCCAGAGCCTGTGTCCAGAGAGGGGGCCAGGGCTTCCGCTCAGAAACCACCAGCTCCCCTGGGGTCCTCTACCATCTCAGCTTTCTCACCAGAAAATGGGAGCTGTCCTGGGCCTGTTACTCCTAAGGCTGGACGAATGGGGGCTTGGTCAGCCATGAGTCTCTTATTGGCCATCTGTCATGGAGGGAACACACAGGTGCTGTGAGGGGAAGGAAGTGAGCGCACAGCGGACAGCTGCCTCTAGAAATTTCCTCCGTCCAACTGTTTCCACTCTCCTACCTGGCTCCAGCCTCACCCAACATCAGCTCCTCTTTACTCACTGCCTGGAAATGGAAGATGACTTACCTCTTGGCCTTTCCCCAACATGGCTGATGCCCTTGCCCAAACCCCCGCCCTACCAGCCTGCCAACCTGGGTGTCCAGGCACATTCTGTAGGTATGTGCAGGGCACCGGGAGAAGCAACACTCCTCCCAGGAGGCCCTGAGCCTTCATCTATCCTCCATGGATATACCTACTTGGCATTTCGGCTGTGTGCTGACAGTCCCCTGCTTCTGCTTGGGGGAACCTGCCAATCACCACCTGGGAGGGTTGGGGGACTGAGCTCAGCCTTCTTCCCCTCCTCAGCCTCTCTCCTCAACTCTCTCAGCAATGCCGTCAGATTAAGCTCATTTCTGAAAAGTTCCCTCTTGCCTGGCTACTCAGACCCTCAAGGCCACTAACCCCCTCAGACAAAGCCCACACTGGAAAGCCTGGCACTGGGGCTGTCTGTGTGACAGGGCACTGCTACGGGGTGTAGATGGGAATTTGGGAAGGGCTTGGTTTGTTTTTGTTGTTGTTGTACTTTCCTGCTGTCCTCTTTATGCAAAAGGGCTTGCCTCTTCTCTCCTGGCTAATACTGACTGACTCATCCTGCAATGCCCAGCTCACAGGCCATTCCTTGCCCCACCACAGAGAGTCTCTGAGCTCTGGCTCCAAGGCCTTCTTGGCTGCTTCACCCTCTGCAGTCTCACGGGCTCCAGCACTCTCTCTCTCCCACCTGGCATCTAACTCTGCAGGACGCAGATCCAATCCTGCTCTGCACCCAGCGCCCAGGACGGGAGTGTGCCCAAGTTCAGAGGTTCCTAGCTATGGCAGCAACCTGAGATAAAATCAAGCCTGCGAGCAGAAAAGTAGCTTCCAGAGGCAGGGTTAGCCTTGAGTACCGTCCCTGGCCCTGCCCCTCCTCTGCCTGGGCCTGGGCTCTAATACCCACCACTCTTGAACATCTGTGAGACACCCCACAGAGGCCTCTAGAGTAGACTAACGGAGACCTTAGCCACTCCAGGAACGGTCCACACGAAGAAGGCAGAAAAGCAGAATGAAAACCATGTTGCTGGTTAGCCCCTGGGCCAGCTGTTCCCAGATCTCTTCAAAGGGGAGGAGGGAGGGTCTGCAGGTCCCTGCCCTGCATTAGGGGTGGGGGTGAGGGTGGGATTCGTCTGCTCTCCTCTCGGCCCCACACCTTGACTCTCATAGCTGCCAGGGCTTCCTGGAGGCACCTTTTGTCCCTCGCATCTCTGGGCGTCCTTTTTAACTTAGTGTCTTACCAAGGCAGCCCTAGGATGGCACCCTTCCCTCTAGGAGGCCTTGTCTGGCCACAGGCTGGGTTCGGCTGGTGACAGGCAGATGCCCTGTTACTGAAGAGGAATGGGAGAGACAGGAAGGGAAGGCGACAAGAGCTTTGTTTCTCCCCTGGGATTGGCCACACTCAACTCTGCCTACAGAACTAGCCCTTACTAACCGACGCTGACCCAGCCCCTGTTCCCAACAGAGACTCCGAAAGCGTTGTCAGGGACCCCACAACCCCCGGACGCTAAGATGACCAGACAGTCTCTGGGTCCTCAGTGTGGCCCCCAGTTGGGCCCCTCTCCCCTCCTTCCTCCACTGCCCCCTGCTCAGCCCAGGCTGGGGCTGGGGTTTCTCCGCAAAAAGATTGCTAGTCCTCGTGGTGCTAAGTGTGCGTGCTCTGTGCTGGGCAGGGCAGAAGCTGGGCCACCTCTAGACTCAGTTGATGAAGGAGATGATTAAGGCTCAGAGAGGGGCAGTTAGTAGCCCAAGGTCACACAGCAAGGCCCAGAAGCACCTAGACCTCCCACATCCCAATCTCGTTCCCAGAGCCCTGAAGGTAGTAAGTGTGGGGCCCTCGAAATGTAAGGGTGCAGACACTGCCTCCTCCCCCAACACTCACACCCAGGGCCCCCTTACCTCCTAGACTTCAGCGGGCCTTACCTCAGGACCCACTCCTGGGCGGGGCGCTTGGGGCAGGCTGGACTGGGCTGGGCCAGACTAGGTCAGGGCGGCTCCTCCGCTCCCCTGCGGAGGGGTCCCAGACTGCAGGGCTGCTGCTGCCACAGTGATGTCCAACTCCACCCACCCCGCTCCGCACAACCCTAGATGGACCTGGTCAGTGCAACTCTGATGCGCGATCGCGGGGCTGCGGGACGGAGCGGGGGGGAGGGGCGAGGTGCGGGAAACGGGGCGGAGCCAGAGCGGGGGCTACCCCGAGAGCTGCCAGTAGGGCCCGCGTCCCCTTTAAGGCCAGCTGGCCCGAGTGCCGGCGGGGAGGGCCAGTCACGGCCGGCTCTCCGCGTTGCCTCCCGGGAGGTGGAGTCCGGGCGGGCCGCGCGACACAGGGAGGCGCACAGAAAGGACTACAAGTCCCGGCGGCCAGCGCGCGGCCCGGGACGGCTCGTCCCTGCCCCCGCCGGGCCCACCCCCTAGCGAAGCTGCGCTGGCTGGAGGGGAGGCTGCAGAACGAGGGCAGGAGGTGGGTGCGGTGCGCCGGCGTAGGGGGTGGGGGCTCGGGACCCAGCGGACGCCTGACGGGCCTCTCGGGCACCTGTTCTACCGCGAAAGGTCATCAGTCCCAGCCTTGCTAGTCTCATCTGTGAAGTGGGATAGCCCCGCCCGTAGCGGCGGGGGAGGGGCGCTCTTGGGGATGGGGGTGGCTGGACCGAGCTATGGGGGGGGGCGGGGCTGGGGAAAGAGATGCGCTGTGGGAGGAGCCTTTGGTGGGTGGGGAGAGGGGCAGCTCTCTAGGTATGGAGGGGACCTCTTCTCTGATTAGAGGGGCCGGGCTCCAGAGCTGAGGAGTGGGTGCCGGGTTGGGTGGAAGGGCGCGGGGCGGGACCAGCAGGAGTGACAGGGACCCTCTCAGCTCTGGCGAACTCAGGGCGTGTATCTGAGCCGTGGACCAGGGGCTGTGAATGTACATAGCACCATTCTTCCCATGTGATTAGAAATAAAGAACCCATCCCTGAAGCTCAGTGCGTCACACACATACCTCACTCTTTCACATCCAGCAAAGGCCTCGCCATGTCTGTTTCCAGCTGAGAAACACAGGTGATAAGTGACTTGCCCCAAACACCTTCAAAGACCCTGACTTTTTCTGCCCGAAGGAGAAACAGGTTTGGTTTGGGGTAGTGTAGGGAAGACGTAAAGGTTCCGACGCCCCACCTTCCAAAGCTGTGCTTCAGGACCAGGACCCTCAGCTCCTCCAGCTGCAGGCTAAGGCAGCCCTCCTGTGCTATCTTCAGGCTGGAGATTTGAAAGTCCTTTGTTTATAATTATCACTGTTGGAAGGAGTGGGAAGACCACAGGAAGAGAGTGCTTGGAAGAAGGCGTCGATGCCTGAGGAAAACCACAAGATGAAGCAGGAGAGTGAGCCAAGGTGGCTAAGGAAAGTCTTGCATGCATAGGAGGGATGGGGTTCAGACCCTGCGCCATCTTCCACAAGTGTTTCTGTGCAAGATGAGAAACTGCACCAAGCCGGGCGGTTTCTTCTTCCAGCCCACCTTCCCCCGTGATGGCCACAAATTCCAGGGTCCCTTGTGTGAACTGAGTCTAGAAAGTACCGTTACTCTCTTTCTAAGTTGGTCCTTGGAGACAGGACAGGGCGAGTTGACTAGGATATCAGCTGTTGGATGTGAAGGGATGAAGAAGTCTGCAGGGCTTTGGGCCACAGTCCTTATCCTGGTGATCTACTTGGGTAAGGCAGGAAGCTGCTAGTTGACTGGAAGACATGACTCACTGTGAACATTGTCGTCTTTGAACTTTACCCCGTGCTCTGTCCATTCCCCTGCACAATGGAAGCCTTCGTTGTATGGCAACCACTTAGACCTTGTCTTATGGCTCTGGTTCCAAATTGAAAATTCAAGAGAGCATTTCAAAATGAAAAGTTTTAAAGTGTTTATCTCCCAGACAGGGACCTAAGTATTACTGTTGGTAAACAAGTCAGCCTGGGGAGGTGAAGATGGTTCTAACTAAACAAAGTAAAAAAAAAAAAAAAAGAAAAGAAAAAAAAAAAGTGTTCCCTACCAGCCTATTTCTGGGGAGGGGAGGGGGGGACTTCCTTGCCCCAGCAGGGCCCCAGGCACCTCTCTACTTAGGCTAATTGTGCTAAGGGGTGAGCATAAAGTGCTATGAGCCAAAGAAGAGGATGGTGTGAATTCCATGTGTGAGGCCTGGCAACCCAATGAGACTTTTTCTTTGAATTTCCTGCATAGGGGATGATGGAAGCCAAGTTGCGAGAGGATGGGTCATGCTGCTCTGTAAAGTATTTCACCAGGCAGTGTTGGCGCTCACACCCCTAATCCCAGCACTGGGGAGGCAGAAGCAGGCAGATCTTTGAGTTTGAGGTCAGCCTGGTCTACAGAGTGAGTTCCAGGACAGCCAGGACTACACACACACACACCAAAAAAAAAATCTTGAAAAACCAAAAGAGAGAGAGCACATCTGTTTCACATATGAGATAAGAACTTAGCATGTTGAGTAGCTAGCTAGCCCAGTTTGAACTGCTGAGTGAGCTGTAACCCCCCCTTATTACAGTTTTTATGACCACCATCATCTTCCCTGGGAGAGCCTACCGCAAACACTGACTCTCCACAAAGACCATATACTGTCATCTACCCCAGAGCCCCACTGGTTCTTTGTGCCCATGCCCAACACACCTTGGCTGCAGACATAGCTCTCAATGTGAACAGCAGGAGTCTCCTTCCTGCTACTTAACAGCAGCAGATTCTAGGCTCAGTAGGAAGCTGCAGAAGCAAGGCTCAGACATCCAAATCTCAAAGCCATATCCCAGCACAGAAGGTGGGCAGGCTGTTCCTGTGGGTGATGTCCCACAGTCCATCTAGAAGGACCACCCACCCAAAAACGTCTCCAGCGCTGGACTGAGTTAACTATCTTAGTCTCTAAAGCCAAACCTCTGGTAAGTTCCAAGTACAGCCTGCATTCACCTGTTCACGCTTGACCACATTTGCTTTTACATGGACACACACACATCTGCCAGCTACTTTAGCTTACAAGCCAGGCTTGATAGTTTGTCCCTATAGTCCGAGCTCCTCAGAGGCTGAGGCAAGAGGATCACTGGAGCCTGAGAGCTCTAGAGCACCTAGGGCAGGGCAGTATTATGAAAATCTGTCACACAAAGAAAAGAGAGAAAAATGGAAAGAGTGAGCAGAGAAGGGAAGAGAATATGAATATCTTAGCCAGGCACTAAGGAAGATTGCATCTAGACCAGCATGGGATACATAGTGAAACCTTGTTTAGAAGAAGAAGAAAAAAAAGAAAAAAAATTTCCTAAATTCTCCAAAATATGTCCATCTCATAAAAGTGGCATTTTCCTACATAATTGTAATCCCTCCTTTGGTATTACCAAATAAGCACTTGGTGTTAAATTTTTTTCCAGATTTCCCTTCTCCAAAAACCTTTAATTGTTGCCTTTAATCATCCATAAACTGCATTTGTTAACAATTCTTTGAGGAAATCATTTAATCTGAAGAGAGCCATCTTATATTTGCTTAATTCATTAATGATTAGATCCTAGCTATTTTTGTTTCTGGCTTCTTGGAAATGTGTACTTCTTTTTCCATCCCTTTAGAAGGCAGATATCAGGGGCTTCATGAAGCCATTTGGTTAATGGTTAATGTCATGACAGCATGTCATGGTAACAGTAGACCAGTGGTTTTCAACCTGTTGGTTATAAGCTTGTTGCAGTTCAAATGACCCTTTCACAGGTCACCTAAGACCATCAGAAAACACTTATTTACATTATGATTCGTAGCAGGAGCAAAATTACCGTTATGAAGTAGCAAGGAAAATGAGTTAATGGTTGGGGTCACCACATCATGAAGAACTGTATTATAGTCACAGCGTTCGGAAGGTTGAGAACCACTGTTCTGGACTGTGTGTCCTTCCGTGCCAAATCCATTGATGATCTTTGCCTGAATTGTAACATTGAAGACTGCAAAGTGGTATTTTTCTAATTGTACGCTCCCTTCTATATTACTTGGTGTTCATTTTGGGTGAAAGAGTATGTTGAGACAGGGTCTCCTATGGCTAGGGCTGGCCTTGAACTCTTAGTCTTCCTACCTCTACCACCCAAGTACTAGAGAAACAGGCCTATAGCACTATTATGGTTAGTGGTAATTGTCCACAGACAGAATCTAGAATCACCCGGGAGACAGGCTTCTGAACATGTCCTGGGAGACTATTGTGAGTATATTAATTCGTGTAGGAAGATCTGTATTAGTTACTTTTCCCTTGCTTGACCAAGGCAACTTGTACAAGAGTTTGAGCTTGTCCAGAGTGATAAGGGTCCATCTTGGCAGTAGGAACAGTTGAGAGCGCACATCTTGAACTGCAAGTTGGAAGCAGAGAGAGCAGACTAAAAATGGGGCATGACTCTTGAAACCTCAAAGCCCACCCCCCAATGACTGCCAGCAAGGCCACACCTCCTAAACCTACCCAAACAATACCACCAACTGGAGACCAACTTTTCAAACACCTGAGCCTTTGGAGGACATTCTCACTCCAACTACCAAAAGAGCCATCTTTCTAGTTTTTGTTTGTTTGTTTACTTGCTTGCTTGCTTTTTTCAAGACAAGGTCTCACTACATACCCTGGCTGTCCTAGAACTCACTATGTAGACCAAACTGGCCTTGAACTCATGGAGATCTGCCTGCTTCTGCCTCTTGAGTGCTGGGATTAAAAGGATGTGCCACTACATCCAGCCACAAGACCCACCTTAATGGTACATGGGACCATTCTATACAAATGGAGAGAGGGAACTGAGTGCTCATTGCCCTCTGCTTCTTGACTGCGGGTACAGTATGACCATGTGCTGAGCCTCCTCAGCGTAGCCAGGCGATGTACCACAAGCCCCTGCTGCCTTTGACCCCACTGTTGTGATGGACTGCCCCTTGAGCAGTGATCTAGAATAAGCTCCTCTCTCTTGAATTGTTTTGGGCCAGGATATTTTATCACAGCAACAGGAAAGGAAAGCACCAGGCCCACCCACCCACTTGGTGCCCCATTTATAGAATAACATTTCTCCTTTCTCACTGCTGTTCCCTTCTCACCCCCTTTTCTCTGCCTACCGTCATAGTGTGGGCCCATTGAAAAGTTCAATGTGCTAAAATCGA